TTGATAGTACAGTGAACACTAGCCAGTGTTGATAGTACAGTGAACACTTGTCATTAAAAACAGAGATGCATTTCTAGACCTACACTTAAAAATAAGGAGATGGTGCTGCATATTCCAGTCACTGAGATCTCATCATCTGAGGAGGACCTCAGTCAGAGGTCGAACAATAACAACACTTGGCCATTCCTTGATTTATGTCTCCAAGTGAACTTCTCCGTCCCACATTTCACGAGTATTGTAGGAAGTCGGAAAAGAAACTTACGTTGAATTAAGACATTTCATTCAGTTCAGTAAATTATCTTTCAATATATTTGTGTATATCGAGACTTTAATGACAAAACTATTTATAGATATAACTTTTTTTATTAAACATTTACATGTTATATTGTGCTATATAATAACACTATAATAGTGGTGGCCCGGTGGTCTGGTGGCTAAAGCTCCCGCTTCACACACGGAGGGCCCGGGTTCGATTCCCGGCGGGTGGAAATTCCGACACGTTTCCTTACACCTGTTGTCCTGTTCACCTAGCAGCAAATAGGTACCTGGGTGTTAGTCGACTGGTGTGGGTCGCATCCTGGGGGACAAGATTAAGGACCACAATGGAAATAAGTTAGACAGTCCTCGATGACGCACTGACTTTCTTGGGTTAGCCTGGGTGGCTAACCCTCCGGGGTTAAAAATCCGAACAAAATCTTATTTTATCTTATCTTAATAGTGAATATAATTACAGTAACATTGTAGTTCAATATTCCTGAAAAAAAAAATATTTTCCTGGAAATTAAGACAAGCTGGGAAAAATAAAATTCTTGGAAAATTTCGAAGCAAAAAATTTGGAAAAATAATTCACTTTCAGATTTATATATTTTAGAGAAAAATATATTGGAAAATAAGCGAGTAATTTTTTTCAAAAATATTTTTAGAATAGCTTTTGTACCTCATTTTGTAGTCAATGCATGATTTTTCATTTCCATACACACGTATTGGATAGGTACGACAGTGGCAGTGTTTACTGAGGCAATAGGGTGAGTGCCTAAGTTTTAACTTCATCTGGATATAAGACGCTACGGACAATATCTTCCACCTTCATTATTTTTTCCAACCATTCATTATTTTCTTGCTTACTGCAGCGCTGTATAGCCCTTGTGGCTTAGCGCTTCTTTTTGATTATAATAATAATCTTGCTTACTGCTTCTGTATTGCTTCATGTTGCGCCCCGTTTATGGTACACAATGTTGTATTTAAATACTGTAAGTGTGTAACGTAACTCAATATTATATTGTGAATATCTTCATTAATTGCTAAACTGAAGATGTTTGGCTTGATGGTATCTGTCAGAGACAACTTACTCGTAAATGTTTAAGATATGTCAGAGTATTTTATCCAGAGTGGTATATTACAGATCATTCTCGAGAAATACCATGACGTTGCTCACTCTAAATAAAGTATTACCACGAGTGAGAGTGAGAGTGTGAGTGTGAGTGAGTGTGTGAGTGTGAGTGTGAGTGTGAGTGTGAGTGTGAGTGTGAGTGTGAGTGTGAGTGTGAGTGTGAGTGTGTGTGTGTCACCCAATTAATATTTGCACTAATAACTCGTTACAATTGTGACCGGGTGTGGACGTGTGAATTGCTCATTAGTTTATAATTTGTTCATGATTGTAACCATGTATAGACGTGTAGATGATTCATTACCTTCGTCACTTGTTCAGTTATCAAAACTTTGGGACCCAGTCCCTGGACCCATTATGTACCTCTATAATCTTTTGACACCCGCCCACATGATGGGTATGGGGTGCATAATAGATATTAAACTAACTAAACTTTCATCAGTTATTATAATTATTAGCTATGTAAATAGGTAGGATGTGTCTCTTTTGTTAAATGAAGAGAACAAACTTCTGACGGTGGGAAACAGTCATGCCAACTAATGTTAGTTGGCTTTAGGGTCTCTAGCTCACTGCTGACTGAGTCGCATGATCCGACCTGATGTTAGGTTAGTGGATTTGGATTCAGGGAGTCTTGTCCAGCCCTGGTCAGAGTAAACATTCTCTCTCTCTCTCTCTCTCTCTCTCTCTCTCTCTCTCTCTCTCTCTCTCTCTCTCTCTCTCTCTCTCTCTCTCTCTCTCTCTCTCTCTCTCTCTCTCTCTCTCTCTCTCTCTCTCTCTCTCTCTCTCTGGTAAAGTTTAAAGGTTCTTTAAGAAACGGTGTCGTTGGTAACTCCTGGTTTACTGTGTGTCGGTGGAAAAACAGTTATTAATAGACTTGGTCATTTACGCTGTCTCTTAAGGTGTATGCTCGTGTGCATATGTCTGTGCGTGCGCCCTCGTGTGTGCGTGTGCGCGCGCTAGTGTGGGTGTATGACCCACTTAATATTTGTATTTATAACTCATTACAATTGTGACCAGGTGTGGACGTATCAGTGGTTCATTACTTTGTAATTTGTTCTTGACTGTAACCAAGTATAGGAGTGAGGCTGATTCATTACCTCTGTAACTTGCCATGATTGTGACCAGATCTACCTGGAGTTCATTACCTTTGTAACTAGTTCAGCTATCATAACTTTGGGGTCCAGTCACTGGACCCATTATGTACCTTTGTAATCTTTTGACTACCGCCCACGGGATGGGTATGGGGTGCATAATAAAGATATTAAACTAAGGTGTATGTCTTTCAGACATTCTAAGTGTCTATTTCCTTAACTATAGAACATAGATCTTATTATTTTTTTTTTTTGAGTAAAACTACGCTAAGACGTAGATTGTAATAATCTGGGTTGAGCCTAGATTCGGTATTCAATAGAAAGGCCCATAGTTATAACTACATTCTGTCCCTATTCGCCTCTTAGTATTTGTCGTTATGTCCCCACCCATCCCTCCTGTCCTCCAGTATCGTTAGGTTGATTTCTCTTAACCTCTCCTCATAGGGTATATCTCTTAGTTCCGGGACTAGTCTTGTTGCAAACCTTTGCACTTTCTCTAATTTCTTGACGTGTTTGACCAGGTGGGGGTTCCAAACTGGTGCTGCATACTTCAATATGGGCCTGACAGTGTCTTGAGTAATTCCTTAGATGTCGAAACGCTATTTTTAGGTTTCACAGGCCCTCTTAAGCTTTAACAATTATTTAGTAGATGTGTGCCTCAGATGTGCTCAGTATGATGCTCACCCCAAGATTCTTTTCCTTGATTGAGTTTTGCAGCCTTTGATCTCCTAGGCTGTACACCGTCTGCGGTCTTCTTTGTCCTCTAAACTTCATGACTTTGCACTTCCCATTTGTCTGACCAGGGTCGCAGCCTGTCCAAATCTCGTTGTAGGCTTACCTGATCCTCGTCCAATTGTATTCTTCACATGAGCTTCACATCGTCTGCGATCAGGGACATTTCTGAATCTATTCCTTCTGTCATGTGCATATACTCACCTAGTTGTAGTTGCAGGGGTCGATTCACAGCTCCTGGCACTGCCTTTTCACTGGTCGCTACTAGGTCACTCTTCCTGCTCCATGAGCTTTATCATACCTCTTCTTAAATATATGGATCCTGTCTCCATTTTATCACTTCCCAGACTTTTCACTTCCTGACAACTGTGACTGAAGAAATACTTCCTAACATCCTTGTGATTCATCAGTCTTCATCTTCCAACTGTGACCCCTTGTTGGTGTGTTTGTGTGTGTTTGGATGTGTGTTTGTGGGAGTGAATAGTTTCACATATAATGTGGAACACAATAACAAACATGGTTCTCAAACCAACCCACACCTTCCATCGTCAAAGAAAAAATGCAGTTGGCATTTTTAAACAGTGAATTTAACTATGAGTATGTAGTTTAGTGTTGGGTAATAAAGATTAGCCAAATAATGCTGCTTGTAAACATGCGAAGGTTATACAGAATTTGTTAGTAATAATGGTAGAATTAGACACTGGTAAATGGCCACAAATGTAACTTAAAAAAACTTTCACTCATACTACTACTGTATCTACAACCATCTCTTTCATATCGTGTGAGATTACATTTATAAATATATATATAATATTATATAATATTATATATATTGCGTGTGGTGCCAAATGGCTAAAATTGGTCAATTAGCAAGAACTCGTTTAAAATAAGTCCTTTCTAAAGTTTTCTTTTGTAGGTTTAAAAATATTTTTTTTTCATTCATGTTAATGTAAAAATTAATTTTGCATGAAAAGAATCTTAAGAAAATATACCTGACCTTGTTACAAAAAGTGCAGTTTAATTAAGGCTAATCCAACTAATTTTAGATAACTTTACAATAATTCAATAAACACAATGAAATATATTTTTTTTCCTTAGGTTCAAAATAATTTTTGTGGAATTATTGCATACACAAATTTTTGCTTGCCTTATTCGGCAAGAAGAGCGTTGCTATTTAAGCCAAAATCGTAAGTTTTTACCTGTTTGGTACTAATATATATTGTAACCGCGAACGAGTTGTATTTAATCAATAACACTGCAACTAGCCGGGGTATCGAACCCGTGTTTTAGCCCGCCTCAAGGTGAGCGAAAATTCAAGATGCTCTAACCCACTGGACCATACAATTCTATACAGATCACGCACCCAGCAGAGCTAGGTGTTGTACCGTGATCATAGGGCATACTATAGTGTGGGTGCCTCAGAGCTAATTTCATTCTACTCCCCTTTTGGTGTACTAGCCTCCACAAGCAGTATATATAGTATAGCACCCACACCATCGTATATCCTCGGATCATGGTACAACACCTAGCTCTGCTGGGTGCATGATCTATATAGAATTGTATGGCCCAGTGGGTTAGAGCATCTTGAATTTTCGCTCACCATGAGGCGGGCTAAAAAAAACTCGGGTTCGATCCCCCGGCTAGTTGCAGTGTTATTGATATATACCCACTGTGTCCTTGTAATATTTATAACGGCTCGACAAAAGATACGGGAGAGTGAAACGTTGCCACAATAAGTCACATTAGTCGCATCTGTGTTCATTTACCTAGCAGAATTTGTAATATTTCAGTTCTTGCTTTGCTCTCGTCTCCACCTCCTGCTTATGGTAGCAGTGATGGCAGAAGACAGCGCAGGTGAAGCACCTTACCCAGGGATCACTCAACTCCCTTCAACTCTGGCCACCAAGCACAAGCACAGCCTTTTGTCTCATAGACAACCCATACAACAACTGTCTCACTACAAAGTAAGCATCTTATCTAGATTAAGTATCATGTACAATAGAGAATTCCGCAAAATTTCTGTTAAGCAATATTTATAGATTATACACAGAATAATATTTTACATAATTATGTACGGCCTGCCTTGTGCCGGCGACTATTATTTTTATGTAGATGAATGATTCAAAGAAGCAACATGTTGATATATTACACACATGTGCAACACTTGGGTATCTGTAATGAGGAAACGTTTCGCCACACAGTACCTTCATCAGTCCATACAAAGGAGAATGGTGAAGAACACGAAGAGTTTGAGGTAATCAGTCCCTCAGCCTTGAGTCGATGTGGTCAGTCCATCAATCTTGAAAAGAATACAGCATATGTGCTTAGAAGTAGCTTATATACTGTAGGCAGGAGAGGTGCAGCAGTCGTAGGTGGTATCACATTTGTCCAATGTGGAAGTAGGTTATGCCCAAGGGTTACACAACTTGTCCTCTTCAAGGGGGGCTCCTTGGCGTGGTGAAGAGGCTCTTGGTCTGAGGAATTAGACCTGTCGGTCTCCTTCCTCAGACCGAACCTAATTACCCCCCATCCCCCCTTCCCTATCCCATCCTCCCCTTTTTCCTTTCCTCCTCCTTCTCTCCACCCCTCCCTTTTGCCCTTCCTCTTTTTGGCCTTTGGGATTTTCCCCACAGGCACGCTAGTTCCTAGGTAGGGGAAAGGGTACTGGGGTCCATCCCATTCCGTTGAGGTTCTTGGCGGTGGCGTAGTTTGCCGTGGAATCTGGATCGCCTGGGGGTGTCCCGATCCCTCTCCGGTATCCCGGAGGGCAGCTTTGGGTGTCTTTTGGGCGACGGGTGTATCTCTGGAAGCCACCTTTCGGATTCCGGGGGTGGTGGCCGAAGGAGGTATGCTTTGTGGTGGATATCCGGCCGCCCTCTCTTTGGTCCACCGAGGTAGCTTGGCAGATGTGAGGTTGCTGTCCCGTATTGCTGGTTTACTGGGATGAAGGGTAGGGTATGGCACGGGTTCCATGCTGCATCTGCGCTATTTGCGGTGCTGAGGTCCTCTTGGGCGTGGAGGGAGATTTCTGTCCCTTTCATTCCTCCTAGGAACTATCCCTCCCCGGTCTCCCCTTTTTTTATTCTTTTTTATTTTTATTTTCTTTTTTTTTCTTAAAAACAAAAAGAAAGAAGTAACCTAACCATGGAGTTCCCAATCCATGACCCAGCTACCCCCGGGCCCCTTCTTGTTACCGCACCCCGTTCTGACCTCGCCTCATCTTTTGACCACTCTTCGGACACGTCTAAGGCCCCTGTACCTCTTGCTGGTGCTGTTTCATCACCCGCTTCAGGTGCCGGGGATTCGACTGACTCCTTCGATTTGTCTGACCTCCGCTCTCCTTTGGCTATGCTTCCGGCCTCTCCCTTTATGGTGCGGCAATTTTCGAATCGCCAGCCCGTCCCACGTCGGACCAACTCCGGTCCCACTCCTAAACGCCAACAACAATTGCCCGATGATACTTCTTTGCCACCTTCTCGTTCTACTCAGAAAAGACTGACACGTTGTACTCTCCCTTTACACGTTCAGTTTCAGAATGCACAATGGACTAAATTCTTTACTTTACGACTGCCTATCTAAACCATACCATGGGCGGGGATAGAACCCGCGATCAGAGAGCCTCAAAACTCCAGACCGTTGCCTATCTTTCCGACCATAGTACTGGCAAGGTGCTCCTCTGCCATGTTGGTAGAAATATTTCCTTTCATGCTCTTAAGAGTGGTATGCACATCATCACAGTCCAGAATGCTACCCAAGCTCATGATCTTTCTCTTCTTTCACATATCGATACTATTCCTATCACTATCGAAAAACATCATTCCCTCAATTCTTGTAGTGGTACTGTCATTCTGCCCCATACCATAGTACAACAGAATTTCCAGGCATGTGGCTATGATATTCTCGAACAGCTGGAACTCCAAGATCTCCCAATTCTCAAGGTAGGCACTTATGTTCTTCCTGCCCGCGGGCGGAGATGATACCCTTGCAATGTGGCTCGTTTAACTTTTGACAGCCGTGAACTCCCAACATCTGTTTATGTAGCAGGACATCGGTTACAAGTTCGGAAGGTGGTCCCTACACCACAACAGTGCAGAAATTGCTGGCGATTTGGCCACCCAGCGAAATATTGCAGATCTATAGCTAAATGCCAGGTCTGTGGTGCCGATGACCATTCTAATATATCTTGCAGTCGACCTCCCTCTTGCCTTAATTGTCATGAGGCTCACCCTTCGTACTCTCGCCGTTGCCAGGTCTACTTAAATGAGCGGGAAATTCGTTGCCTCAGAGGCAGAAGGTCTCCCTTATGCTATGGCAGTTTCTCATCTCCACCTCCAAGGGAGACTACCCCGTGTTTCTTATTCTCGTGTTTCAAAACTTCTCCCCACTTCTGGTGTCCCATCTTCTACAGCCTCCTCTGCAGTTGCCCCTCCCATAGTCACTCCTGTATCTAATTCTTTTACTGTCCTGGGCTCAGACGTTCCTGCCTCAACACCTCAGTCTCTTCTCACTTCTTTGTGTTCTCCCTCACAAACTCCAGTATCGACAAGACCTCGTACGACACCTCCCAATCGTCCCTCTACTTCTCAGAAGTCCAAAAAATCTCCTTTAACCCCTCCTTCCCTTCTTCCACCTCCTCATTTTACCTTCCCGGTCTCTGGACCTGGGTCTTCCCCTCTCACTGGCTGTTACAAGTGTGGATGTTCACCCTCCTCCTCATACTGTGCCTTCCTCCCCTGTCCCCTCCCCAGTTTCTTCCTCTTCTCCCACCTCCCAGGTTTCTACCTCTTCTGTCCCCCTCCCACACTTCTCCAGTTCCCTCCACCTTTTCGCCCCCCCCCCTTTGTACAGTCCATTACAGTTCCAATCTTTACTCAAACTCCTCCTCCTTCCATCTCTGATATTGTCTCCCACATGACGTCTCTCAACTCCGAAACACTTGAAGCAATCTCTGAATATATTGCGGAGACCAAACCATCAATGGACACTGATCCACCCTCTGTTCCTTCTTTCCTCTTCTCCATCTGCGCAACTCCTTTCTTCACAGCGCACCATTCCTTTGCTGCTTGAATGTTTTCCGCTGCCACTGAATGTGGACTTTTCTAACCCATCTAGTCCGTAGGAACCCTTACCTGTGGATATCTGGTATCTTTATTGTTACCAATCATGACCTATTTACAATGGAATATATGCAGCCTCAGGGGTAATCGGGGCGAGCTTCAGATGTTGCTCTCCCAGTTTTCCCCTGTTGGTGTTTGCTTACAAGAACCAAAATTACACTCTTCTGTTATCTATCCCATCTCGGGCTATAATTTATTGTACTCTTCGGATCCTTTTCCTGATGGGACCTTTAATGAAAGTGCCCTTCTTCTACACACTGATATTCCGTACCATCAGCTAATTGTTCGTACTTCGCTACATTACACAGCAGCCCCTAACCACTTGCATAGGTGGTATACATTCTGCTCTTTGTATCTCTCTCCTTCTTGAGCATTATCTATCCCGGATATTGCCTTTCTTGTTTCGTCATTACTGCCACCACTTCTGTTACCTGGTGGTTTTAATGCCCATCATTTCCTCTGGGGGGTCTCACTGAGATTCCCGTCGCATTCAGTTAGAGGCTTTTCTTGCTTCCCACCCACTCCATGTTTTAAATACAGGTACTCTCATCCATTTTGATCCTCGTACTCATACTCTCTCTTGCATCGATCTCTGTCTGCTCTTGCTCCACCGTACTAGACTTCACCTGGTCTGTTTTCCCGGATTTACATGACAGCGATCATTTTCCAATCATTCTTACTTCCCCTTCATATTCACCACCACTTTGTACTCCATGCTGGCAATTTGATCAGGCAAATTGGGACCTTTACTCACAACTAACTGTTTTTAGTGAGGTTCCTTCTTCGTCCTCCATTGACGATCTTTTACACCTCTTCTCGTCCTCAGTTTTAACCGCAGCTTCTCATTCTATACCCCAAACCTCGGGCAGGCATTCTCAGAAATGCGTGCCTTGGTGGCCTCCTGCTTGTGCTCGTGTAGTACGTTTGAAACGCCCTGCGTGGGGCAGGTACCGGTACAATAGAACTATTGAGAGACTTCTTGATTTTAAGCAAAGCGCGCCATCGCTCGCCATGTCATCCAAGACGCTAAACGCACTTGCTGGCGAGATTGTCTCCACCATCACCTCTGCTTCCTCTGAGTGCAGTCTGGAAAAAAGTACGGAAACTGAATGGTAAATATTCTCCTGACCTGGTTCCTGTTCTGCGGGTTGCCAGTGTTGATAAAGCAAACCCTCTAGATGTTGCCACTGAAATTGGCAATCATCTGGTCCGTATTTCTCTGGGGCTCCATCTATGCCCCTCGTTTCTTTCCTCAAAGTCTGCCAGAGAGTTAGCACCCTTGGACTTTTCTTCTCTCAGAGAAAAACAGTATAATGTACCTTTTACACTTCAGGAACTGGAGGCAACACTCTCAGCTTGCCGATCATCGACAGCTGGGCCCGACTACATTCATATTTGTATGTTACAACATTTACATCAGTCAGCCCTTGCAGTCCTCTTACGCCTTTTCAATCTTATTTGGTTACAAGTTCTTCCACAGCTGTGGAAATCTGCCATTGTTCTCCCTTTCCGCAAACCAGGTACTACAGGACCTGAAGCCTCCCACTATCCTCCCATCGCTCTTACCAGTGCAGTTTGCAAAGTGATGGAACGTTTGGTAAATAGACGTTTAATGTGGTATTTAGAGACACACAACAGTCTCTCCACTCGTCAATATGGCTTTCGTAAGGGCCGTTCTACCATAGACCCTTTACTCCGTTTGGATTCGTATATTCGTAACGCCTTTTCGAATAACCACTCGGTTATTGCCATATTTTTTGACCTTGAGAAGGCATATGACACAACTTGGAGGTATAATATTTTGGCCCAAGCCCACTCCTCAGGCCTCCGATTCAATCTACCATCTTTTCTTAAGAACTTTTTAACTGGCAGACATTTCCGTGTTCGAGTCGGTAATGTGCTCTCCCCAGTCTTTGTCCAAGCTGAAGGTGTCCCTCAGGGATGTGTTCTGAGCACAACACTTTCTCCTTACTATAAATGATTTGGCCTCTGTTCTTCCATCCAATATTTGGTCATCACTCTATGTAGATGACTTCGCTATTGCTTGTGCAGGCGCTGACTATCACCTCATTACAGTTTCTCTCCAGCATGCGGTCGACCGTGTTTCCAATTGTGCCACCACACATGGGTTTAAATTTTCCAGTACGAAAACTCCCCAAATTACTTTCACTAGACGCTCCGTCATCTCTGATCATCCTTTGCACCTCTATGGCTCCCGTGTCCCTGAATGTGATAGCCAGGTTTCTAGGTCTTCTCTTTGACCGTAGGTTATCCTGGAAACCCCACATTACCTCTCTGAAGGCAACTTGTCACAGCCAGTTGAACCTTCTTAAAACCCTTGCTCATCTTTCATGGGGAGCTGATCGTCGAACTCTCCTTCGCCTACATTCAGCCCTCATTTTGTCGAAACTCGATTATGGTGACCAGATCTATTCAGCGGCCTCTCCTGCTGCTACTCTAGCCTTAACCCCATCCATCACCAAGGATTACGTTTATGCCTTGGTGCTTTTTGTTCTTCCCCTGTTGAGAGCCTCTATGCAGAAGTGAATGTTCCATCCTTGTCTGATCGCCGTGATGCCCATTGCCTTCTCTACTATGTACACTCTCACGATCTCCGCAATCCTTCCATTTATAGAATGGTCACCGATATTAGTAGACATTCTTTATTTGTTCACCGCCCCTGTTTGCTCTGTCCCTTCTCTCTTCTCCTACATTCACTCTTGTCTTCCCTTCAGTTACCACCTTTATATGTTCATGTAGCATCTCACTTTTCCCTACCCCCCTGGGAAGTTCCAGCTGTACGGGTCTGTTATTTCTCACTCCCTTGCTCAAAAGCCCAACTGCCTACGGTGGCCTCCCGCTCTCTTTTTCTTGACCACTTCCACTCTCTCTCATGCCATCGCAGTGTACACAGTTGGCTCTAAGTCTTCTGACAGCGTCGGATTCGCAGCAGTGTTTCCAGACAGCGTCGTGCGAGGGCATTTGCTATCTTCGGCTAGTATTTTTACTGCTGAATTGAATGCCATTCTTGCATCACTTATTCGTATCGCATCTATGCCTGTGTCATCATTTGTGGTTGTCTCAGACTCCCTTAGTGCTCTACAGGCTATACGGAAATTTGATACACCTCACCCCCTAGTTCTCCGTATCCAACTTTGGCTATGCTGTATCTCTACCAAGCATAAAGATATTGTTTTTTGTTGGGTCCCTGGTCATGTTGACTTACAGGGCAATGAACAGGCAGGCACTGCTGTGGGGTCAGCAGTACATGACCTACCAATTTCATATAGAGGTGTTCCATTTCCGAACTATTTTGCTGTAATAGCTACCCATCTTCACACCCATTGGCAACAACGTTGGGCAACTCTTCTCAGTAACAAACTTCATTCTATTAAACCGAGCATAGGTTACCGGCCGTCTTCTTGTCATCAGTGCTGAGGTTGAGAGACTACTCTCTCCCGCCTTCGCATTGGCCACACTCGTCTTACCCACGGGTATCTCATGGAGAGGCACCCTGTTCCTCTGTGAGAAGTGTCAAGTTCCAGTATCGATTAGCCACATTCTGTTAGACTGCCCTCTCTATCAACGAGCACGCAGAATTTACCTCCAACGTCGTCTCCGTTCTACTACTCTCTCTTTACCTTCCCTTCTTGCTCATGGACCCTCCTTTAATCCTGACTCTCTCATTGACTTCTTGACAACGACTGATTTAATCCACAAACTCTGAAGCCTTTCGCACTCCCCTCAGCCCTTTCTATCTCAATCTCTTGCTGCCCTCTATCCTTTCACCATCCACTGCCCCACTGTTCTCTGTAACCTATTACTCATCCATTTCCCTTTTACCACCTGATACCGTCGCTTCCTTCCTGCCCTGCAGCACTGTATATCCCTTGTGATTTAGCGCTTCTTTTTTTATTATAATAATAATAGGCAACTTTTCGGTTCTCTGAACCATTCATCTACATTCCTGTCTGACACTGCAACATCTTGGGATCTTACTACAGGGAATTCTTCACTTGCCTAACCCTTGGGTACGACCTACTTCCACATTGGACAAATGTAATACCACCTACGACTGCTGCTCCTCTCCTGCCTACGGTATATAAGCTACTTCTATGCACATATGCTGTATTCTTTTCAAGATTGGTCACATCGACTCAAGGCTGAGTTAGTTTAATATCTTTATTATGCACCCCATACCCATCCTGTGGGCAGTAGTCAAAAGATTACAGAGGTACATAATGGGTCCAGGGACTGGGCCTCACAGTTTTGATAGCTGAGCAAGTTACGGCTGAGGGACTGATTACCTCAAACTCCTCCTGTTCTTCACCATTCTCCTTTGTATGGACTGATGAAGACACTGTGTGGCGAAACGTTTCCTCATTAAAGATACCCAAGTGTTGCACATATTTTTATACATGAACTGCGGAAACAATAGCTTTCCTTGTTGTATTCCATCACACACGATACATTGCATGCATTAGGTAATAAAACCTAAGATATACATTAGAGCAAAGAGGAAAAAGTGGGAAATTATAATTTTTTTTAGGCCATTTACTTAGGGTTCAGTTGTTATACAAGTGGGTTTTTTTTTCCTACCGTATACAAAGTCATAGGTGGTAAAATCTTGAGCATTTACATCTTTCCTTCCCTCTGTTCCGTTTGCTCTGCCGTGTACATAAAAGTTTTTGCATTTCTTGTAAGTTTGAGAAATCTTTTAGAACCAGGCGTCTGTGAGTTACATTAGGAATTATTAGAGAATCAGATTTTTATTATTATTCGGTATATATGTATTTTTCTTAATTCATTGGGTATCAGTCCCTTACTACTAGGACTAAATACAACATTCTTGACAAGTTTATAGCTTGCCTAGGTAACAATGCTGAAGCCAACTCAGTGGCTTCATTAAGTGCCTATAATAATTAAACTATTGCTCATAGAATGGGTATTTTGTACATAATACAGTTATCATATCAACAATTGCACATTTAATACTTCAAGACCCTCTCCTCACCTCGTACTATATTCCTTCAACTTTTCACTACAAAAGCCACTCGTGACTTAATCTTTTTTTTTTTCTAGAAATCTTCTGTATACGACTACGAAGTCCACGATGTTTACACCGGTACCCACTTCGGTCATTCCGAAGCTCGCGAGGGGTATCAGGCGCACGGCAAGTACTTCGTGCAGCTTCCCGACGGCCGTCTCCAGACCGTGACCTACTACACGGATGAAACTGGCTATCACCCTCTGGTGGCCTACGAGGGCCAGGCACACTACCCTCCTCCTACCTCCACAATCCCACAGCAACTCAAGCCTCGCCTGTCTGAAGAAAAGCTCAACTACGATTCTAACTCGGCTGACAGTGCCCCGCTTCCCGTCTACAGTGCACGTAACTCTGTAAAGAGCGCTCGTAAACCTGCTTATGCTGGCCTGAAACAGACCTCTCGTTATCGAAATCCAGGATTTTCCTATCGTGCTCCAGAGACCATGTATTATACCCCAAAACCAGCCAATCATGCTCTGGAACCCACCTATCAAAACCTCAAGCTCACTGTTCTGACACCTGTCTATCGTTCCTCAGAGTCCACCCATCTTGCTCTAAAACCTGCAAATCATTACCAAAAACCAACCTACTATGCCCTGAAATCCTCTAGCCATGACTCCAAAACCATTTCACATGCCCAGAAACCCATTGTTCATTCAGAATCCATCTCACATTCACCAAAACCCACTATTCTTGCCCCAGAACCCATTTCTCATCCTCTGAGAGCTACTATCTATGCCCCAAAACCCATCTCCCATACCCTGAAATCCCCAGTTCATTCAATAGAACCCCTCTCTCATGCCATGAAATCCCCTATCCATGCTCAAGAACCTGTCCTGAAAGCCACTATCTATGCACCAGAACTCGTATCTCATGGCCTGAAACCTACCGTAGACGCCCCAGAGCCCATCTTTCAGGCCGTAAAAACCACTATTTATGCCCCAAAACCCACCTACCTCACTCAGGAACCTAATAATTATGTCCCAGAGCCCAAGTTCGATTTTTCAGAGACACTGTTTCGTAGTTCATTTGATTCCCTTAAAACGTGACAGAGGGCGCCTTCCTTGAGGATATCCACCAATCATTGGACACAGTCTTTAACCATCATCTGTAATAAGGTATAAATTTATACTAATGAGTTTATATTTTAATATGGTAGCACCTTGCTATCTATATCTAGTGTATATATGTACCCTTAGACCATAACATTTAATATATTTATTTATGCAATATTGCAGTGCTCATTTTTTGTATTAAATAGTGTGCAAAATTTTTCGTGTCATTAAAACCCATTGAATCTGTGATCGCACCCAAAATGTAAAAGGAAAATCTGTTATTTTGAGTTGGTCTTCTTAGAGTGGCTTCTCCAAGGGTAAGCTCCAGCTCCCAGCTTTACTTTATTTTTTTTTTCAATCCATGGGCACAGTTGTGCCCAGCATCATTGGTTCAGTCGTACCAACCTTTTAATCCACGAAAATAGTTAATTCTTTACTGCGTCCTTCTCACCTGGGTTACTTGACCTGTCACAACCCTTACACTAGAAGAAACAATTTCTAATGTCTTTGCATTTCATCTTGGTGTTCAGCAGAAGGTGTTCGTGAGTAATAACAATGTGTTATTACTCGCGAAATCGTGATGACACGATTGCAAACAAACCATATCACGGGAGGGAATAGAACCCGCGGTCAGTCATAAAACTCCAGACCGACGCGTTAGCCACTGGGCCAGCTGGCTACAATAAGATTCATCCAACTAGGTATATTTATACTTTGACTCTCTGACCGCGGGGTCTATTCCCGCCCGTGGTATATATATATATTTTTTGTTATTCTGTATTCTTAATATCCTTGAGTATTGTGTATATCGCGATCCGCCAGGAACGTAAGGTTCCGCTCAATGTAATTTTTCTCTCGTAACCAGGTTGGCTGCATAATTCTTAACTCTTCGACTAGCGTGTCTGACTAGGCGTGGGGCTCAATGCTGGTGAACTACACTCGAAGATCAGACAGAAATATATGGTGCAAAGCGTCATGAATGACTCCCTAATTAGTTTTTGGAGAAAGTTCCAACATTTGCTTCATTACCTAGCCTGTGGCAGCTACCTACGATGCTGACGAACATCTGAGGTTTAGCACAATATCTGACGTGTAGAGCACTGCCTGGGTGTGGCTTCTCTGTTTGGGGTGTGGCCCACTACCTGGGGTGTGGCCCACTGCCTAGACTAGGATGTGGTCCACTATCTGGGGTATACTCGCCTATTTGTGGTTACAGGTGTAGATTCATAGCTCCTGGTCCCGCTTCTTCTCTGGTCGCTACAAGGTCCACTATCTCCTTGCTCCAAGAGCTTTATCGTATCTCTTCTTAAAACTATGTATAAATCCTGCCTCTACGACTTCACTCTCCAGATTGAGAAGCTTACTACCTGTGGTGTAGATTACTACCTGTGGTGTAGCTTACTACCTGTGGTGTAGCTTACTACCTGTGGTGTAGCTTACTACCTGTGGTGTAGCTTACTACCTGTGGTGTAGCTTACTACCTGGGATGTGGCTTACTACCTGGGATGCAGCTTACTACCTGTGTTGTAGCTTACTACCTGTGGTGTAGCTTACTACCTGTGGTGTAGCTTACTACCTGTGGTGTAGCTTACTACCTGTGGTGTAGCTTACTACCTGTGGTGTAGCTTACTACCTGTGGTGTAGCTTACTACCTGGGGGTGTAGAGACCATAATGCAAAGCTGTGGTTGTATTTAGTACTGTTAGCGTAACTTTCCTCTTGTCAGTTATAGTGACGTCAGACAACTCGGGCAAGGCTACACAGACTAGGTTAGAGCCGACAGGCACCGCTGACCCTCACCAGTGACATTGGCTGACCACTAACAAACTGCTTGTTGATAATGTATGTTTGCCCTGTGGAGCTGTGCTACAACCTGTTCTTACATCACCTGTAAAATTCGTGCACATTTCAATGTTTCCTTATGTTCAACCACAACGCTACCAAACATGGCTTTTTTTTCAGGTTTATTTGCTTACCGTAATTATAATTATCATTTATTAATTATTCCTGTATGTTATTATTCATAGTCATTATTGTTGGTGCTGCTGTTCCTGTTGTTATTAAACATTATAGTTATTTTTCTTATTTTTTGTATAAGGAGGTATCTTCTTTTTATTTATTTATTTATTTATTTATTTAGTAATTTAAGCATACATAGAGGTACAAAAAATACAGGTAAGAGCAGCATGCCAAAGCCACTTATATGCATAGCATTACGGGCTGGCTTAAAATTAACTTAAGATTAACTAAGCAATGATGAAATCAGTGATAAAACATTATTGTAAACAGATAACTATAAAGCACAAGTGAGTATTACAAAGACAGGTCATATGGTTGCATGCATTGTTGTACATTCAGTCGTATGGAGTATTCTGTTAGGTAGTGTATTTAAAAAAATAATAAAGTTAGATTGGGTCCTAGGTTTAACATTTGTGTGATATAATTGTGAGTAACATATAGGATATACAATTTATAAGGTTCAGTTATTCAGTATTTATTTGGTTTTGAGTGAGTAAGTGATCTTTGAGAAGAGACTTGAATTTATAAACAGGTAGTGTTTCTTTTATATTTACAGGTAATGAATTCCAGATTTTAGGGCCTTTTATGTGCATTGAGTTTTTGCATAGTGTGAGATGGACACGAGGAACATCAAAGAGTGATCTGTGCCTTGTGTTATGGTCATGTGTTCTGTTGAGGTTGGCAAGGAGATGTTTGAGGGGAGGGTTAATATCAGAGTTAAGTGTTCTATGTATGTAATAGGTGCAGTAATAAGTATGGATGTTTTGTATGGTGAGTAGGTTTAGTGTATTGAATATTGGTGGAGTGTGCTGCCTGTAGTGAGAATTTGTTATCATTCTAACTGCAGCCTTTTGTTGGGTAATTAGTGGTCTGAGATGGTTAATTGTTGTTGAGCCCCATGCACAAATTCCATAGGTGAGATAGGGGTAAATAAGAGAGTGATAAAGGGCCAGGAGGGCTGACTGTGGAACATAGTACCGTATCTTCGATAGTATGCCTACAGTCTTGGAAATTTTCTTAGAAATTTGTTGTATATGTGTATGAAATTTGAGTCTATTATCGAGGTGGATTCCTAAGAATTTTCCCTCTGTTAGCTTTGTGATAGGTGATCCGTTTATTGTTATGTTAAGAGGTACATCTGTAGCTCTGTTACCAAACTGAAGTCAGGGGGATTCTGAACGTTGCTGAGTGTATATCTGGAGAGGGTTTTGGGTGTGTACTCACCTATATATGGCTGCAGGGGTCATGTCATAGCTCCTGGGCCTCCTCTTCGCTGGTCGCTACTGAGTCCACTCTGCTTAAGAGCCTTATCATACCTCTTCTGAAAGCTATGTATAGTTCCTGCTTCTACTTCACTCTCCAGATTGTTCCACTTCCCGACAACTCTACTGCAGAAGAAATGCTAACATCCCTACGACTCAACTAAGTTTTCAATTTCCAGTTTTTTTGCTGTATCCCATCTCTGACACAGTCCCTGTCCATCTTGCTAATTCCTCTCAGTACTTTGTCGTTATCATGTCCTCCCTATCTCTCCTGTCCTCCAGTGTCGTCAGGTTAGTTCCCTGAACCTCTCCTCGTAGGATATACCCCTTAGCTCCGGGACTAGCCTTGTTGCAAACCTTTGCACTTTCTCTAATTTTTTGACGTGCTTAACCAGGTGTGGGTTCCATAATGGTGCTGCATACTCTAGTATGGGCCTGACGTACACACTGTACAGTGTCGTGACTGACAAATGTAAATGCTACTCTTAGGTTTGCCGGGCGCCCATATGCTGCAGTAGATATTTGGATGCTGTGCGCCTCAGGGAATGTGCTCGGTATGGTGCTCACCCCAAGATCCTTTACCTTGAGTTAGCATCGCAGACCTTTGACCCCGGAGTCTGTACTCCGTTTGCGGTCTTCTTTGACCTTCCCACAAGCTTCATGAGTTTGCACTTGGTAGGGTAGTGTCAGCGGGAGTAGGGGAGTGTACAAAGGGTAAAATAAATTCACAGTTGCAACATTGTTAGTTTTTGTTAAAAATCAGTAAGATAACTTTCAATAAGCCTGCCCACTGGTAGACGGAAAACACTATTAAGCTGTAGATAATTCAGTCTCCCATACACAACGGCAGCGGGAAGATGATCAGAAACCCAAATGTCGTTTGACAAAATTTATTGTGGACCAACTCAGGCCATTGTTGTTGCCAGCGGATGAGAAGTAGAGGTCACTTAAAACTGGACTGAAAATGGAGTATCGACACAATGTGATGGCCGTATGATGCATATGATGACTCATCTGTGAAAACACTGTCTGAGTCTAGTAAATATTGGACGGATTCATCAGTAAAAACTGCTACATGCCCAACATCATCAGGGAATTTAGGACCATCAGTGTACACTGCAATAGCATGAGAAATATGGAAGTGATTAGGAGCATGAAGTTACAGCGGGTGAGCGAGCTGTCACACACACAAGTGGGGAAGAACAAAAAATTGATCGTCTGTATTTCCCAAGAAGGCAGATTACAATAAGATGCCAAAAGAGTAAATAAGAGAAGAAAGGGGCACGGTAAATATGGGCTACAATTAAACAAATGACGCTCTATTAACATCCGTTGCCGTCCTATATGTGGAACAATCACCAAGGTCATAAGAAGACAAAATAATGGAGACAATTGGTACAGAGCGGATCTTGCAAGACGTTTGCCTCTGCAAACAAGAAGACCCAAGACAAACTTTACCCATGGTGATGAATGGGATCCAGTTTAGAAAAAGTAATGGGGGGAGGCTGAAGAATGCATTTCATCACTGTAGTCAACTTTAGATATGATTAGTGCAGAATAAAGATGAAGAGGGTTAGTCCTTACTCTGCACTAATGGGCTAGGGTTTTCAGATGGTTCAAGCTGCTTTCAGGGAGGTTAATCTTGTTCAGGGCTATGGGGGGGAGGACAGGTATAGAGTAAAATGAGGGACAACAAGGAACCTAACGTATTTCAGTAACAGAAAATTTAAACACATAAGAGGTAGCCCAATGGGAAGCATAATAAATAGCGCTCTGGAAAGAGGCTGGTACAAGGTGGCAGCACCAGCACAAGTTGTAACAAAATCACTGACATGGATGACCAAATCGGGAGGGAGGACAGAGGCAAGGTCATTGATAGCCAACAGAAAAAGGGTGGTGCTACGGACATAACCCAGAGGGATGAG